AATTTGTGGATGTTTAGGAAAGTCCACAGAGAGACTAAGAAAAGTCCAAAATATCAGACTCTACATAGCCGTAATTCTCTTCTTTCTTTTTATGGTTCCAACCTTATATATTTCTCTCTATATATATACATACACACACTCCAATTAAATTTGGCCAATCGATTGTATATCTTTTTGCTGATGAAATATTTCTCAAAAATGAAAAAAAGTGTTGTAAAAAAATAGGTGTTAGACAATACAAGAAATCATCAATACCTAGACTTAGATGGACACCACAACTTCATGAACTCTTCATTGAAGCTGTTCAACTTCTTGGAGGAGGACATAGTAAGTTTTCCAATTAAAAAATTTTGTATATTTTTTTAGTTGTTTATTTCTTGATCAATATGTTTTTTTCTTTCTAATTTTGATGTTTTTGGCTATATAGAAAGAGATTTAATATGCATGGGATGATTAATTAGTAGTTAATTATGATGATCTATTGCTATTTAGTAAGAAATTAAGGAGTTTTGGTTTTTTTTATTTAATATGATAGAAGCAACTCCAAAGAGAATTCAACAGATGATGGCAGTAAAGGGATTGAAGATTTCTCATGTTAAAAGCCATCTCCAGGTAATTGATTCTTAAAAAGATATATTAAGGGATGAATGTTGTGTATCAGATCCTTCTGTTATAACTAGAAATATAGTCTTTTCTCGGCCACCGCGAATCTTGAGAAATCTATTTTATAAAACATGATTTTCCTATCTATTTTTTTAACCGAACTAGCTCACTGGGATAACACATGGCAAGAAACAGATTCTCACTGAAATATTGTGAAGCTTTCGAATTTTTCCGTGTGAATACACTATTATTTTTTCTTTTTTCATCGATTGAATCAAAATATCTATGGAAATAACCATTCAACATATTTCAGTGAGAAAATAGTGAGATTTCATTAGTGTGTATTTTTGGATGATTGTTTGATAAAAATATTTTTGGATGATTGTTTGAGTTTTTATTAGTGTGTATTTTTGGATGATTGTTTGAGAATACATGCATTATTAATCTTTCTAGTTTTGCATTGTAATGTATATCATTATCAAATTTGAAATTTGTTAATTAAAATATAATTTTTCTATTCCTTTTCTTGAAAATAAAGGTTTCAAGAATACAAATATAATCATGATGTTTTCGAAATGAGAAATAAAGAAAATGAAGGAATATTGAAGCACGTTTATATTATGTTTTATGTCGACACTTGCAATTTGATTTCTTTAATAACAAGTCTGACATACCATATTAATTTTTCAAAGCATAAAAGGGAAGATTAATTAACTTGATCTAAACTTAAGAATGCATATTTTGAGTGAAAGTTAATAAGTATGTACACAAAGTTTTAATTTAATTCCTGGAATATAACAACCTAATTGGTAATTTTATTTCAGAAAAGATTCCATATACTTCTTTTTGTGTGTGTGTTTGTTTTCTTTTTGTTTTTCAATTATCGACTTTTTTTTAAGAAACAAGAATATTTTATTAAAATAATATGGGTACAATTCTGTTTCTCTTTTGATTTTTATCTCCCAATTTTTTTCATGATTCAAAGATCATTAGTGACGTATTTCTCAAACTAGGATGATTAGAATTTCTCCGTGATTCGAGGGTCGTTAGTGGCGTATTTCTCAAACTTCTTCTTGAAGTATTTAATTATCAAGAAAAGTCTAACATATTTTGTTCTCTTTATGAATATCGTATGAATTTGCGGAATATTGGAGAGGATTATTATAGACTTTTAGTTTAGCACATGATGCTTAAAATTAGATAAGTGATTAGGTTAGGTATATATGAAGCCCTAGTGCCCTATATTACTAAATAAGAAAAAAACTTAAAAGTGTGAAATCCAGTCTACTAATGAGCTGTTCCATTCTAAGCCATGCATAATTTCCTTATTAAAAATAACACTTTTGTGTTTTATGTTAATTAATAAATTGTTTGATGTATAATTGAAAATCAGATGTACAGAAACTTGAAGGAGAGAGGCAACCTCAATATTGTTAAGTCTGTGAACAACTTCAATGAAGAGACACCACAATTTTCATGGTCTTCCCCATATGAGTAAGTCTGTAAATATATAATCTTGATTAGAAATCTCGAGTTCGAGCTTTTAGAATAAAAATATTCTTATAGGGATTGGAGCGCTTCTTCCCTTTTCAATACGTACATGTATGGTGAGAATCTGAATTAAATAGAAACACAGCACGAGTGGAAACAAAAAAAAAATATACTATAATTCAAAACTAAATATTTAAAAAGAGGGAGAAAATAACACATACATTAAGAATGCAAATTGCAAATTACTTATTTAATTGTAATACCTAAATTTATATAAAATGTGACAGAGGAGAGTATTTAGATTAATCATTTATTTTTTTATAATCATTACTGTTTCCTTTCCTTTTTTTCCTAATATATGAATTTAAATTCCATTTATTTGACTGCAGAAGGAAAGACCTAGATGATAAATGCATTTCATTAATTATTGCATTATTAGCTTACCAAAACACTATGACTTTTGGTTATGAATAATAGTATTCCAGCTAGTGTTCACTGACTCAGCTAAACTACAATTAATCAACTCTAATGTAAATATTTCCATAGACTTTGAGATGATATTTCTACCTAATTTGTCACTTTTTTTGGTAAAGAAATTAAAGAAGAAGAAAAGACAAATATTTGATTTCTATGGTCAAATGTCTTTTTAAATTCAAATATGTGCTAGAAAGTCTGACGTTTAAAATAAAACGCTTCTCAAAAAAGGCGACTCATGTTGGTATCATTTAATTTTTTATTATACTTTTGCAGGCATGTGAGTGAAACAATATTAGAACATGGTCCTTCAAAGAGCAGCAAACAAATAGACCCTGGAAGTGATAAATTCCCCAATTACAAAGCAATAATCAATGCATATATTGCTGAAAATAATATATATTGCTATGACTACCAGGTAATTTGATGATTTTCCTTAATTTCTAGTTATTTGTTTCCTATACTTCATTTGAAGACAACTTGGTTACATTACTGTTGACGCATGGAATGATCGGGATTCTTTCCGATCTTAATCAGTTCAAATATTAAAAACAATTTTTTTTTTGAGCGAAGAACGTTTTACCCTTAATTAAATATCTTGATCGAGCTTAAATACTAGAAACGATTTTTTATTTTTTAGTGAGGAGCATTTTACCCTCCTTATTGGGTGGAGTCCACTCGTTAAATATAAGTTTATATTTTAAAATGCACTAACATTGCAACAAAAAGTATAAGTCAGAATTCATAATTTTATAAACGGAAAAGGGCAAAAAGCGTTAGCTATGTAAAATTGAACAAAAAGGCCCTCAATATTTTTGTCTAAAAATGTTCTCTACTAACGGAAAAGGGAAAAGGGCAAAAAGTGTAAGCTATTAACTGAACGCATTTTTCTTCAATTTCTCATAGTTCAAAAGCTTCTCTTTTTTTATATATTTTTCCATTTTATAAATTCAATACTAAAATCGTCTTAAAGTTAAATTCATAGAGCTTAAATCTCGAATTCAAATATTATATTTTTTTTGTGTGAATTCAGGAAGCACAAGGAAGTTTAAGTAGTGGAATGACAAAGGAAGAAGAAGAAGATGATGGTGGTGGTCCAATTAGTAGTGAAATTTGTGAGTTTCCACATGAAAGGGAGATCAATTTTTGGCCTTTGAATGATTATAATCATCAAAATTCCCAAAATGATTCATCCACAAAGCAAGTTTTGAAATCTACAAAGGACGATCCTCACATTAACCTAGACTTATCTATCTCTTCATGTTTCTATTGTTAAAATAAAATTACAATCGTCTGATTGATGGGATAAGGATAATAATCTTGAGATATTCTATGACATGAGATTATTTTATTCTTCATTTGATAATAGTTATTATTTAGTCACAAGAATATTTTATCTATTTCATCTCACCAATCAAACGATCCTCAAGTAATATAGAGTAGTCCCTCTAGCTAGCTAATCTTGTATTTTATATACATTCATGTGGGATATCAATAACGCTGGCATTTGTATCTACGCGCCCGGTAAATTTTGTATGAATCATGAACAAAGAAATTTTAGTCGATTAATTATTTAATTCTTACTATTTGTTCCTTCCTCTTCACACATTTTTTCTAAATAGAAAAAAACTGATCCAAAAAAGATGTATTATTTCATTTTTTTCCAGATTTTTTATTGAGTCCTGCTTCAAAACGGACATTTTATTGTTAGGCACGACATATTAAAAGAGATCTTTCTTAAAAACATAGATTAAAATGGACATTTTGCTCATTTATGGGCGAACTGCAACAAATAAACTTAACTCCGTCTATTTATCCCAAAAATCAAAATACATAACAAAATTTTTAAGGTTAGTTCGCCCACGAGAACTATAATTCTTTTTATTTGCTTCTTATGTAAACTATATCATATCTAATTTTAAATGTATTGTGAGCTCTATTTTAATAATTAAAATCATGAATTTCTTCAATAATAAGAGTACCAAAAAGAAAAAAAAGAGTTAAAGTGGGAATTCGAGTCAATTACAATTCAAGGTGAACAAAAATTTAATTTTTTAAATGGACATTGGCACAAAAATATTGTTTATGTAGAAAAATCAGTCATAAGAAGAATCATTGTCTCCATCATTCTCAAATAAATAGTAAAATTCACTTTATGAAGAAAACAAAAACAATTGTTTTTGTACTATTGATGAAGACTCAGATTTTATGTATCAAATAAACTCCACAATATACGCCTAAAAACTAGATATGATATAGCTCTAATGAAAAGCTAATAAAACAATTATGGGCAAACTACCTTTAATTTTTTTTTGATATATTTTGACCTTTGGGTGAAGTAACTGAGTAAAGTTCATCTGTCTCATAAATAAGCGAAATGTCCATTTTGGTCTGTACTTTTAGAGAAGGACACCTTTTGGTATATAGTGCTCTTTTTGGAGCCGAACGCTTTCTTATGAGTCAATTTTCGTCTATATTATCTATTGAACCCTGTTGAGAACAGCAAGTCAATTGCATGTATTCAATTTTTATGTACACAAGGAGAATAGTTGAGGTATTTGAATATGTGATATGAGGATTGTTAATTTGGTCCAAACTTCAGTTCCTCTTTGCTAAAGTTTTCATAAGTCCTTTCACAATCTTCCAGAACCAAACCAAGTTCATCACAGCAAGTACCAATGGCACAACACATACCAAGAAAATCCCAAATGAAGACACCTTCATAACCTGTTTTCAATCCGAAAGACGAAAACAAAGCACACAATTAATCCATTTTCTTGACCAAATTTGATGCTTCTGTTAAGCAGTCGTTTATTATTTACAACATTACCTGATCGTAGCGGATGTACAAGTGGTAGAACACGTAAATGAATACCAAAATTCTGGCAACCTGCAAATTAACCATCTATGATTTAGCATTTACAAAAACTTGACCTCAATCGGTCATGACAGCATAAAGATAGATACTATAGCTAATACTTAACATACCAGCCAAACAAACACCATCATGAAACCGTTTATCAGGTATGCTTTCGACTTTTTCAATCCAGCTACATCAAGATACCTTATAAAGAAACAAAGGATCGATTCAAGAAAATGGAACGTGTGGAAGATAACGTAAAGAAGCAAGGATGGGATTTGATATTTCTATTGGTACCATCTCAAGTTGATCCCCGGGGTAGTTGCCTCAGAAAGTAAAACCATGTACACATAAAACTGAGCCTCACCAGTCAACATAGCATATGACAGTGCCACCAAAGAGAGAAGGTGATGAACCAGCTGCACAAGAAAAAAGAATATGTCAATCACCAAACCAAGTCTAAATTAAACTGAAGGAAAACAAGAAGCACTTACATATTCCATTCCACCTAAAGAAGGATAAAACCAAAGGATCATAGCAAGATCAGTGAGAAAATATCCCACAGAAACCTATGAAGAAGACATTAAAACTTATTACAAAAGAAACAAGTGTTGGTACACAACACATAAATGGCGATGAAAATAAATTATAAGCTTTCAGAACATATAAAAACAAAGAAAGATACAGCACTAGTTTCGAGATTAACATTCTCTGAGAATTGCATCTTTGAAACAATATATGGCATCAGTTTTACACCTCACCTAAATGTTCTATCTGAAGCTATTACGTTTCTCAAACAGGTTACTTACCCAAAGATGTCGGCCTAATTCCATGTATTAACTGGCTTAATGGTTATACTCAGTTTGAAAGATACCTCATCAAGCAGTTTATGTATGACACACTAGGACGACTACATCAATAAAGAAGGCTAGAAAGAAAATCTATTCAACCCCAGAATCTGAATGAGATGAAAACAAGACACTGGATTGGTGTAGCAATTATACTACTGACAGGAGAAAAAATTGAAGAATATTTATGATGCCATGATTAGACCTTAACTGCCACAGAGAAACTACCATGGCCCCTGCTAATATAATTTTGGGCAACTCACACACATATGAATCCCGCTCATAACCAGAATACATTAGAAGATACAGAATCAGTTTGGTTATTTTTCAGTCCAACAAATATATCATAGCAGCTACTGTTTTCCGCTAATAAAAGATTATGACATGCAAAATAACTTCCCACTATTTGACTTCTGAAATAAGTTAAAAAAGAATGTGGTCAAGGGTTCAAGTCATCGATGCTAATGGTTTTCTACTTTTGTTAATTCTTCGACCAACTAACTTATGTTCTCTCTTTTCTTTGTATGTAAAATCACTGAAAGGAAAAACAAGTGACATGCTGATCTAAACCATGAGTACTGGGTGATTCAGATGTGAGATAATAAACAAAGCTTTGGGCAAAGTTATCAATGGAAGCAATGTGACAACGCAAAGTAATTTGACCAGAAAATAGATTTAAAAACGATGAAGAATTACTTTCACTGGCTTAAGCGCCTCAGCCTTTAAGAGAAAAGTAATTAGATGAGGAGGACAAACAAGGGGAGAGGATACAAGGAACCCCAGCTGGACAACTCATTTTACAATGACAACAACCTAGATTCTTCCTATCCTATTGAGAAGATGATCCCTGGCCACCGTTTCTGGTGTTAGATCAGAAAGGTGAACACGCAATAGCAAAGGAGCTTTGTTGTGAAGTAGATACAAAAGCAGCCAAATTACCTCTTTAAACCTTTGACAACCTACTTGTCAAGAAATGCATGTAAGTGAGAATTGAACCAAATATGACAACCTCCAGTAATGTGTCTTAGAAAGGACGCTCACTAGAACTATTAGAAATTTCAGCAATGTAACAGATTGCCCTACATTGTGGTAATGATTCTCGCTTAGGGTGCGAGAGGTGCCGAGTTCATTTCTCGGAATACCCCCCCCCCCAACTAAAATAGTTCACTTTGAGTGGAGGGTCTTTCGGAAACAACCTCTCTACCTCCACGAGGTAAGGGTAAGGCTTGTGTACACTCTACCTCCAGACCTCACTTGTGGGATTTCACTAGGTATGTTGTTGTTGTAACAGAAGTATGGATGGATAACTTTAACTAAGATCACAGCTCAGTGAAGCTCAAAAAGGCCTAACAACCAAAGTTAAATACACTAATGCAACCAAAATGAACCCAACTTGAGATTATACATCTCCTTATTTCTGCCAACAAATATAATACCAATTAGTCGCCATTTTAACAGCTCCCTTATTGTCTACACAACCAATAGTGACAGGTAAACAAGAACATCAGTGGATAACAAAGCACTCACCCCCAAGACAGAGGTTGATAAAGTGGAACTCCGCATAATGACAAGGCCAGACAGCTGATCATCAGAGAAAAGATCTGACCAGAATGCCAAGAACAGTGACATGGCTGTAATGAATATTGCATGAACTGTAGATATGGACCTATACCATAAGTGAAACTTTATATTTACTTGACCATGACAAAGAATAGTAAAAATGAGGAGAAAAGGGTGACTAATTACCGGTTATTCCATTCAACTTGTTGTGATTTTGAGAGCCCAGCATAGCGCTTAAAGTAAATAGAGGAGAATATCTGGCTAAGATCATATACCTGAAACATACAGATATTTAAGAAATAGCTAGTTATACAAAACAGTAAAGTATACATATCTTCAAGAGGATTGAGCACAGTAATGGTGTTTCCTTTATGTACATCCTAATTTCACTTTAGAACTTGACTCTACGTTAGTAGCCAATATGGTGACAAAGGAAGACACTTCAAACCTGAAGCTTAAGCAAATTGTGGACAACATCATCAACTACAAGAAGAGAGCAGGAATACAAATGAATCACTGGTACAGAGAGGGAAACCAAGTAGCAGATTTTCTTGCTGAGCTAGCTTCAAGCAATGATCAAATTTGATGATTCATACCTCCCAACAACTTCCAGGAGAGGCTAAGGATCTGTTTCAGCTAAGACAAATTCCAGAAGCCCAGTATTAGGACTAGATTTGACAAAGCTGAGTTTTTGGGTGATGGAATCACCAAGTAGTTACTAAGCTGTGTTGTATTGAGGCCCCTATTGCTAATAATACCACACCACTCAGACATTGTCTGGGTAATTGAATAAAAAAAGACTGAGCACATTAAACATGATTATACATTAAAGTCAAGCACAGAAATGCAAAATTCTACTCCATTAGAATTAGGATTCGATGAGGGTCCTCATCTTGAAGAAGTCATTATAGTAAGGAACTAGTCATACCAGCTTGCATGCGAAAACACCACCAATAACAGAAGAGTAGACAATGAAAGAATCTGAAAGAATGTAGCTTCGAAGAAGCATCTCAGCGCGAGTTTGATAAGTGTTGATTTCCATTATAGTTGTTGTACTCAATATAAACTTACTTCGACTCTTTTCTGTACTTTATTTCTCCTGAAATTAATGAATGAAAAGATTAAACATAAACTACATCAATCTCATAAATATGCTAGTTATCAGCTTCAAGTGTAAAAGAAAAGATTGTATGACAGAGTTGGCAACTTGGCATGGCGTAGGTGGACTCTCATGACAATCACTCCCACGAAGACACCATAAGCAGTTTTAACTTATCCGTAGATACTTCTCTATATTTGAATAGAAACTCAAAAAACTACATGAGTGCAAACCCAATGTAGATGCTAGACCACATTTCAACTGTAAATCTTCAGGGCTTTCGAATATATTAAAGATTTCGAAAGCTCTGGTAATAAACTTTGAGGAATCAGGTAATATAGAAAAGAAATTATGTCTATACACAGTTGGTTATAGAGAGCTACAATCAATACAATTTGCTTACAACATTTGCTTCTGGACTATCTTGTTGAGATCCCTTTCCTTAACCAAAAGCATTTTTATTGAATCAAGCACATCAGTTGATATTTCTATTTAATGCAGCAAATAAATATCAAAAGCATAAGGAAAAACGTGATCAGTTACTCAAAATTACTTGAAATGGCTTCCTTAAAATTTTCAATTTCTCAGCATTTTAGGTTAAATTCGATAACCAACCTATCAGCAATGTTTGCCAATTTTCTGGCTTGGCTTATGTTAAACCTAGAAGTGTGTTCCTATGATAAAAAATGTTCTCCAAGGAAAATATTTCATGGATGAAATCATTTTCTAGTATTTGGTTACTTTGAACTGCTGAAATAGTTTCTTCAAGGATGCTTTTCGTAGAATGACTTCTCTCAATTCCGAGAGAATCATTTTCCTTCACGAGTATTTCTACATTCACACTATATCAGCTGCTTCAATCAGTATTTATATGTAATTGTCAACCTTCACTAGTCAAACGATTTCACGAAGATACTATCCTCATGCCTATGCTACACCTTGTAGGATTTTCATATACCAACCTATTTTGTACCTAATCAAACACTAGAAAATGGTCTAGAACTTTAGTTTTAAGTATCTAACATCCCCGGAAAACATCTTCCTTCACACATAATGCAACCCCTACAGGGAAAAAATTAATGGTGAAAAGAATGCATAAGGAGAAAGGCAGTAGAGAAGGCATAGAAAGATAGTGTAAGGGGGTGACATCTGGAACTCAATCAAAATAAGTAACAGCACAGAAGAAAACATGTCAACACCTAAGAGTCCCTTTCTCTTCTAGATTACCTGTTTTCGCTCTGTCTCTTGCTTCATATTATTCATCAAGGTTCCAGTTTAAGTTTATTTTTTAACCAAGACATCCAAAATGTATGTTCACATGCTGGGGAATGAAAAAATAATTTGAGCCACACATGAAGGGACATATTGCAGTAAATATAAAGATGTGCTGCGCCCTTTATAACAACTTAACTTTAAGATAAGGCAGTTCAAATAATACAAAAACTCTTGTATCCATTCTTTATTTATTTCAGTAAGAACAACACAAAAGATACATTAAATCGTGAAAATGTGAAAGTAGAATCTACCAATTAATTATATGGTAAACCAAACCAAATAAAATTTACATTCCTAAGATCTTATCTGAGACCTGCCCAATTAGGATCAACTAGCAGATGGTTAGACATTCCTCTATCCAAATACAGAAAATAGAAACATAATGAAAAACAGAATTTGCAGGACAGAAAAGAAAGGATGCATGCCTTTTGACAATCAGAGAATTAGAATTATTATAACAATTTTACAGCTTATAGACAGTGGCTCTTTTAATCATGCAACTCATGGGCATTAAAACTATGTAATCATAACCGTAAGAGGAAACACAACCAAAGGGATGCCTTTTGACAATCACAACTATCTTACCATCTTTCTTGATGTACAACGTTATGTAACGATGGAAAACAATACAAATCTATCGAAACATTATATCATCAAACAATATAGTACAATACGATACAACACAATACAATACAATACAATACAATACATAAGATATATTATGTAAGGATATGTAACAACCATCCAAACAAAATGTAAGGGTCAAATCAGCCTCTTTAGCTACAGAAATTTTGCAGCTTATAGCCAACACAACACAATACAATATATTATAAAACCATATGTAACAACCATCCAAACAAAGTGGAAGGGGCAAATCAGCCTCTTTAGTACATAATTTTTGCAGCTAATAGCCAACACAACACAACACAACAATATACAATATATTATGAAACGATATGTAACAACCATCCAAACAAAGTGTAAGGGGCAAAACAACCTCCTTATCTACAGAAATTTTGCAGCTTATAGCCATCAGCCCTTTTAATCAAACTCATGGGCATTAAAACTATATAGTCAACTGCCATAAAATTCAGCAACAATCAAACAACCTATTTTCTGCTATATATTTCAACAATCACAAACAACATCAAAGCCAAGGGTACCAAGAATTCAACAAGATTACATGAAAACAATAGCTCGGACGGTAAGCAGCCCTCACTTCTTCCTACCTTAAGGTTCAGAGTTCGTGTGCAGCAAAAAGGGGAGCTTGGGGGTGGGGTTAAAAAAATAAAATAAAAAAACAGTTCTTGGCCAAAATTAAACCTCATTAAGTAGGTATTTATTGTTGAAAGAGAAAAAACAAAAAAAAAACAGACTAAAAATTGAATCTTTCTTCTACTCTTTCTTACCCAAACCAGAAACACAAACAAACAGAGAGAAGTGAAACCAATAATTGATAGAAACAAAAAAGGACTAGTTTTGACTTACCAACACCAAAAAGGAAGAATGGAAAGTAAAAAAAGGTCACTTTTTTAAGAAGAGAAATTTGTTTGTTTGTGGATTCTTTATCTTTATATATGTACTACTTACTATTCTTTGCTCCTTTCTCTGATTGATTGCTTATTTTTTCTACAGAAATCCAAAGAGAAAGAGAAGAATCTGAGACTTGGACAACACGTTGCTGCCCCATATGGTCTATTGCCTTTGTTCATTTGTTCTAGAATCTACCAATCCTTCCAACGTGGCATCAGGTGATTCTTGAAATTACACCCTTTGATACATGTGTCAATAATGAGTTCAACTATAGATAACTTGTCCAGAATTTTATGGACTGAGCTCAAGATAATTTAAAAGATTAACTTTCACATATAGTAAACATAAAAATCATATTCGTATGTTATAGTTATAGTTATCATAATTGCGCTCCGTAGCAAATTTTATGTTTGCTATGAAGCTTTTGACTTGTATAATTCGCTAGATACATCCAATTTTATACAAATTATTCAGTTTTGTATAAATTCATTTATACATTGTAATTTGTATAATAAGATCTGTATTTGTATAATTATAAGTGTATATGACGAAAATATATGTATTTGTATTTGTATATACATTTTTCTCTCGTTTTATACAAACACAAACACATTTTATACATTTGTATACCGAATGGGTAATTGTATATCGAAAATGGCTAATTGTATATCGAACCAGATGGCAAAAAAAAGGGGATGTTTGCTACGAATTACAAATAAAATAAACTATGGCTATAACATTTAATTTGAATTAATAGTTTGTTATTTCATACAATTTTTCCAATTTAGATCGGATTCAATTTCAACTCATTCAAGTCTTTAACTCATTTTAAAAGAATCCTCAATTGTGCCCAATTTAATCTCCAATTTCAACTCGTTCTAAGACTCTTTATTTGCATTGATGTAATGTAGGTTCCTATATTGAAGTTATGGATTACTATCTATTATATATGTTTTTTAGGATTTATCTATCCATTTGTAACTTTTTAAAAAAAAAATTCTCGAGTAGAAATTCAAATTGTGGTTGTAAAACTTAAATAATAATATATTAAAATTATTGAGATTATGGGCAGGTCAAGACCCAATCCGTTTTAAGCTCATTTGAGCCCAAATTAGATTTGGGCGGGTCAAGACCCAAGCCAATTTCTATTTCAACCCATATATCTGCAATCTCAATCCAACCCGCTCATTTGACACCTCTAGGTACACCTACAAGAAAATAATAATTGATATAATGAGTTTACTATTTTCCCTATTATTTGATAGATTTTCAAAATCAATTTACTCATTAAAGAGGTTTTACCTTTTTCAAAAACATTAATTCTCTAAATAAATTGAGGGTATAATAAGTAAAAAAAATAATTGTGTTTTCTTGATTTGTCAAAATTGACAAGTAAAAAGGAACAAATAAAAAATCAAAATTTGACAAGTAAAAAGTCAAAATTATTTTTAAAAATCTAAACCAAATAATCTTTACTGTTACTAATATCAATATAACAAATACCAACTTTATTTACTACTCCCTCCGTCCCTTTTTATATGTTACATTTTTACTTTGCACTTGCATTAAGAAATGATGTAACTTTACCCTTCTATCCTTATTTAATTTTTTTGGAACTCAAGTTTTCAATCAATGAATATGAATTAATTTATTTTGATTAATTAATCTAACCAATGAACATAAATCATTTACTTAGCTTTTCTAAGTTGGTCAAATGTATGTTTTCAAGGCTAATAACTCATAAGGGTAAAAAAAAGGAACAATGTGGTAATTTATGCATTGATTTTATGAAATGACAAGTATTATGGATCAACTATTTTAGAAATGAATGACATATAAAAAGAGATAGAGGGAGTACAATTTTTATACACCTTTACCAAACAATCCTATCGCTATTTGAGTTCCAATTTTTCCTCTCAAAATCTTCTCTATTAGTAAGAAAAATTCTACTTCTTTTTCTATAATTCACAAATTGATAAGACACTCATTTTATTCAAGTTAAGTTGTTTAAGCGGATTGTTGAGCATAGCTCAATCATTGTTGTCACGCTATTAGAATTTTACACTTCAATTCTTCATTTTAAAAAGGGAAAAAGAACAAATATATCTCCGAACTATCATAAATGGTATGTCAATATCCTTCGTTATACTTTTGGGTTGTGTATGTCTTTACCGTCAATATTCGAGAATGTATATACCCTTAGGATAGACGAAGGGACACGTGTCATAATCTTAAAGGCCTACTCATTAATTTAATTTTTACCCACAATTACAAAAAGAGAAAATAGCCAAATCACCGCTCAACCTATAACTAGATTACCAACTACACATATACTTTACGGGAGTCCTATTACCCCCTGGACATTTTCAAAATGAAATATATATCCCCTTAAAATTGAACACTCAGATTTGCACTAAGTAGTGATCTGCACGCGCCCTACCACGTAATATTACGTTTTTTTATATTAAAAAAATAATTCTTTTTCTCTATTATGCTTTTTCCTTTTATATTTTCCTTTTCTACTTCTCTTTTTCATTTTTCATTCCTCTTTTTCTTTGTCTTCAACAATGCTTTTTAGATTTAAAAAAATGTCTTTTTAGATAGGATACATTCCATGACTACTACATATGCTTAGACGTTTAGAGGAGATCTAATATCAACAATATCTCAATGTTATTTATTGAAGCTTTAGGAGAATGGGAAACTCCATCGTCGGAATCACTTCTGCTTCCACTACTAGTATTGAACTTAAAACAATGCTTTGAAAAATAGCTAGTAAGCAATACTAGTTAGCCGAAATGACGATACCGGTGTTGGCTAGCGGAGAGACTAATGTTAATTTTGATTTAACAATGTTAACCTAAGAAGTTTGATGGATTCTTGCAACCATTTCAATAAATGGGTTTTCTCCATTAATTAGTTTGTCACCCAATGATTTTGTTATTAAATTCTTCTAAGTTAATGGGTTTGTTACGAATGAATTTTTCTCCATTTTTACACTAAAGTTCAATCCTTTTTTACCTTCGATTTTAATTTCGAGTTAGCGCTAAATTTTCAAATCGGTGAAAAGTGAAGCTATGGTGACAAGTATGTGATTTGAAGATGAGAGTTGGCTTAGTGATAAATGGATGATGCGGGCCTGGTGGTGGACGTGAGCTGAAATTCCTCTGTTAAAGAGGAAAAGAAAGAAGAGGAAGAAGGCAAAAATGGAAAATAAATAAGAATAAAAGTAAACATAAAATTCAAAAAAAATCAATAGGGAAAATGCATAAGTACCCCCCAGCCTATGCCCAAAATCCCTGAGACACACCTAACCTTTACTAAGGTCCTATTACCCCCCGAACTTATTTTTTAATTAATTTTCTACCCCTTTTTGGCCTACGTGGCACTATCCTTGAAAAAATTGTCAACATGCGTTGGGCCTACAAGATAGTGCCACGTAGGCCGAAAAGGGGTAGAAATTATATATAAAATAAGTTCGGGGGATAATAGGACCTTAGTAAAGGTTAGGTGTGTCTCAGGGATTTTGGGTATAGGCTGGGGGGTACTTATGCATTTTCCCAAAATTAATATGAAATAAAAGAAATACTTATATATTAAAGTTTTAATTATTTGTGTTGCCTCTCACTCTCTCAAAGAGAGTGAACTACACCTTCTTTGCCACCTCAACATACAGGGAGCAAATAATTATTAGTCCATGGAGGTAATAAGTTTCTCGTAAAGTATAAGTGTGTAGTTGGTAATCTGGTAATAGATTAAGGGGGTATTTGACTATTTTCTCATTACAAAAACCCACCCATCTTTCCCAATTTTAATCCATCCATGACCCAAATTGTAATCAAAAGCACCCAAAATTAAAAGAGAAGTTTGGTAAGACAATAAAATCTCTCAAATTTCTATTTTCTTAAGTTATACAACAAAGAATAATTTCAAACATTTAAATTTGAACAACACTTTCAACGAAGAAGAACATGATTTTTTTTTCCAGAAACCCTTTGGACAATTTCTTATTCTTCATCTTCTTCAATACAAATCTTTTGTAGAATTTTTCAGTTAATTTGGCTGAAATCACTCATAAAAATTGATTTTGAATGTATGAGATTGGAAAAACATGATGGAACTCAAATTCCTTAATTCAATTTCACCTATAAAACAACCACCAAGTCTTAATCTCTTCCCCACACTCAATCCCCCAAAAAAAACTTACTTTCCACCAGTTTTGATATTTTTCTAACTTTTTTGCATATGAAGCTTTTCATGCTTCCAAGAACACAGAAACAAGCATCCATGATTGAGCAGAAACTAGAGAATAAAGCAGTCTACGAGTTGTTTGTGCTGACAAGGTACACGACGGCTATGCTAACACCGAAGAAGTGTACAACCAGATAGTGTGTGCTCATCTATTATGCGCGGGGCTCGAAGGACTAGAAGAAAAAAAATTATATGTGGAAGAACTGACACCAAAGGGTCTTTAAGTTAGGTTAGATTGAGGAAGAAGAAGAGGTTTTTAACCGGGTATGTGTGGGTTAAAATTATGAAAAATGGGTGGGTTTTTTTAATTGTGGGTAAAAATTAAATTAAATTCGGGTAGGCCTTTGAGATTATGACACGTGTCTCTCCGTCTATCCTAAGGGTATATACGTTCTAGAATATTGACGGTAAGGACATACACCAAAAGTATAATGAAGGGTATTGACGTACCATTTATGATAGTTCAGGGGTATATTTGTTCTTTTCCCCTTTTTAAAAAAAACCTTCTTTACTTCTTTGTGCTTACTTTACTAATTGACAACTCATCCCTTTTGTCCATCCACAACTCATATTATTATACATGTAACTCATATTATTATACGTGTATTAGTTATACTAGTTTTTAACGCACGTGTCACCAATTTCAAAAATATATGTTATAGTAAATAGTATTACTTATTTAAGCGAAGATTTGAATAATAAGCTTACCAAAAAATAATATTGTAGATTCTTTTGTGAATGTTCAATGTGGATCGTCATATGTATCTCTTATTCACGTCAATCTATGAAGATGGTCAACGAAAAATTTTATTAGTTAAATGCAATAATGTATATATTTATTTTAATTTGATGAAGTTCAATCATGTAATTAGTCTTATCTCACTAATATTACCTTATAGACAT